GTTCATTGCAGTGACTAATTGGTCACTAGGCCTCTGTCTTCTACTACTCTATCAATACTGGAACCAAACTGGGCCTCCTCTCAGATATCCTGTTTTTGCCCTGTGTCATGGAGATCCTGGAGAGTGTGCCCCTTCATATGTTCCAGCAGTCCATCAATGGGGTAGATCTTGGGGTGGGCCAATTCAAAGCCCAGAGATGATCAGCCCACGGGCTCTCACACTCTCACCCACTTGGGAACTGCTCGCCTACAATCCCCACAACCATAGCCAGATTTACCCTCCTGCCCAGGTAGGGTTCAGGGTCTGCTCTGCTGAGTACTGCAGCCAGTAAGGGATACAGCCAGTTCTACTCTCATAATCTCAGGGCCAGTTCTCTTGTCTGCCATAGATGGTGAGAGATGGGGGTGGAGTGTATTTCTTCCTCATCAATGCCACCACCCAGCAGACAAGAGGCAGGGCCAGCTCTCCTGTTCTCACACCCATGGGGCCAGTTCACCTGCACCCCTGCCATCTTGGTCAGTTCTACTGTGCTACCCAGGTGCGGTGCAGCCCCTGCCCCCCAAGTGCTGCAGCATGTGAGGGGAAAGGACCAGCTCTCCTGCTCATATGACCCCATCAGGCCAACTCTGCCATCTGCCTCTGGTGGCAAGGACAAAAGGGAAAGGAGAGGATCTATCACTTAGCAGACAAGAGGCAGGGCTGGCTCTCCCATACTCTCACCCTTTGAGATGGCTCATTTGTAACCCACACATCAATAGTCAGCTCTGCTGTGTTGTTTAGGTGATGTATGGGGCCTGCTCTTCCAAGTGTTCAGTGAATGAATGGTATGGCCAGCTCCCCTGTTCTCATGACCCCAGGTTCAGGTCTCCTGGCTGCCATAGATGGTGATGGTTGAGGGGGTTAGATCTCCCTTGTCCACACCACCACAGAGAGACAAAGGGTAGGGCCAGCTCTTCCACACTCCCATTCTCAGACCTGTAACTCCCACAGTATGTCGGCTACTGTACCGAGTACTGCAGCTGGCCAAGGGTGAGGGTCAGCTCTCCTGCCTTCATGCCTCTCACTCAGGGCCAGCTCTCCCAGGTAAGGGGTGGGGCCATTTCTGCAAAGCCCTCAGATATTAAAGTGTCCCTGAGCAGTAGCTCAGATGTCAGCACAGGCCAGGACCCTGCCATGGTCCCAGGGGATATCTGCTCCCATCAGCCTGCTCCTCACTACCCTCAAGTCTCCAGTTCTGCCTCTCTTCATTGTGCCTACACCCTTATTTTCTCTTCCTCTTCTATTTCTCCACCACTTACTTACTCCTCTCAGTATCTGGTTTTCTGTTCAGGTCTTTGATCCATGTCAACTTGAGTTTTGTGCAGCATGATAAGTATGGATCTATTTGGATTCTTTTATATGTTGACACTCAGTTTTACCAGTACCATTTGTCAAAAATGCTGTCGTTTTTCCAATGTGCAGTTCTGGCATCTGTATCAAAAATCAAGTGTCCATAGATGTGTGGATTTACACCTGAGTCTTCAATTAAATTTCATTGGTTAATGTGTCTGTTTTTGTGCCAATACCATGCTGTTTATATTTCTACAGCTCTGTAGTACAATTTAAAACTGAAAATGGTAAGACCTCTAGCAGTTCTTTTATTATTCAGGACTGTTTTAGCTGTCCTGAGTCTGTTGTGTTTACATATGAAGCTGAAGATTGTCTTTTCAAGATATGTGAAGAATTATGTTGGAATTCTGATGGGGATTGCATTAAATATGTAGATTGCTTTTGGTAGAATGGCTATTTTTACTATATTAATCCTAATGGTCCATGAGCATCAGAGATATTTCCATCTTGTGATATCTTCTATAATTTCTTGAAGATTTTTATCATACAAGGCTTTCATTTGCTTGGTTAGAGTTATCCTAAGATTTTTGATATTATTTCAGTCCTTTGTAAAGGGTGCCACAAATTGATTCTTATTAAATCACTTTTAGACATTTTCATTCATAGGAGTTAGAGACTATGTTTCTTTAAAGAAAAATCCTTCTGTCTTCAAATTTATATTTCTACATCAAATTCTAGTGGTTTTTTATTTTTATTAGATTTTAGTATGTGTGTACATTCAGTGTGCACACATGCATTCTTAGATGCACATGCATGCATACCACAGCATTTGTTTGACAAATTCAGAAGAAATTTTACAAGAGTAGGTCTCCTCATTTCACCTTGTGGATCCCTAGAATTAAACTAAGGTCATGAATATCTTTGTCCACAGAGCCATCTCACTAGTCCTATTCATTTTTCATCTGATAATATTGCTCTGAGTCTGTTATGCACATAGACTGTATGGAGTCGAATGAAATAATGATGTCGGTGTCTCTGAGAATTGAAACTTCTCACTGGGAAACAGAAATGGCAAGGTACCTACCAATATTAGGGAAATCTTTTTTATTCAGTTTTGCTGATGATTTTATAAAATGTTACAAAAATATTTACATGGTTCTGAAATGAAATCTAGAAAACCAGGTTACTAAGAACAGGCTGAGGAGACAGCACTATGGCTAAAATGTTTGCTGCTAAGTCTGATGACCTGAATTCAGTTCCTGAAACCCATAGAGTAGAGGGTGAGCACTGATTCCTACCAGTTGTCCTCTAGCCACCACATATGTGCTATGGTATGTGTGCCCACCTAACATACAAAATAAATAAAGAAATGTAAAAAGAACAGTCCAACATCATTCCCTTTCCCTGTCTGCTCTCTTTTCCTCACAGGTAAACATTAGTGGAATTTAAAGTTTGTCTTCTCATTGGTTTCTTACATCATACCTCTATATTAACATTCAAACATTGATGATCTATTTCTTTAAAATTATACTCTGCTATGTAGCATTGTTTGGTTTGGTTTGGTTCAGTTTTTTAGTTTTTGAGACAGGGTCCCATTGTTTACCACTGACTGGCCTGGGATTCACTAAATAGACCAAGCCAGCCTCTATGTCACAGAAATTTCCTGCATATGCCTCTCAAATGCTGAGATTAAAGATGTGAACCACCATACCTGGCTCCTACACATAGGGTGGGGTTTTTTTTGTCCCTTTTCACTTAGTATCTGAGAACATATCAAATATATATTCGTATATGTATATAAACTTGTTATTTCTTTTATGATAATGTAGTGTATGGCTTGGCATAGCTCATGATAACAGTAACATTTGGTTTAGTAAACATTTTAAGTATTTCATTGATACTATATAAGTTCTGTTGTAAGTATTTGAATCCCCCTGAATATCCATTTTGGTGAGCGCTGTTTTATAGGTAGGAAAATTACGCAAGTAGATTGGATCAAGTGAAAAGCTGAGTCAGGATTTACTCTTGATCCAGATAATCTATATGACCTAAACCACAGAGGCTGTACTACTTCTGACAACCTAAGGAGGTTCAGATTTAGCAGATCCTAGATGTGGTTTGACTCCCTCTAAATGAAACTTGTGAGACCACTTCCTATGATTCAGTGTTCATCTCTTGCTAAGAACTTGTGATTTTCTATCTAGAGAAAGGAAATCACAGGAAGGGGAACCACAACCATGGGACCCATTTTAAAATTCATTGCTACTATAGTAAATACTACTACTATGAAAACCAACTAGAAACTTGAGTAGTAGTTGTACCCCACTTGTTTCAACTTTTCTCTATGCTTAAAGATTTTCATAATACAATCTTAGAAATTACAGAGACCGAAGAGGTAGCTCAGTGGTTAAGAGTGCTTGTATTGCTCTTATAAATGACCTGGGTTCGGTTCCCAACATTGACGTGATACTTCACAACCATCCCAGTTCCAGGAGTATGACCTCCTATTCTGAGTGCTGTGGGCACCAGGTACATATATGCAAGCAAAACACGTATATATGTAAAATGATTAAATCTAAAATATTCAAACTAAAAAACATAATTCATATTTATGTTCAAAATTGTGCTGTATTTGGTTAGATTCAAGACACCATTGATTTTAAGGTGTGCCACCAAATAATGCCACTAATTAAGTTATGGCATGTTGATAGCATTGATTTTAAGCTACATTTGGATTTAGAGGTGTTAAAATGTGAAATATTTTACAGATGATAAAATACGAAATTAAAGACGCAGATTTGTAGTTCAACTGTCTAAATAAGTAGTTCAGATTATTAAGCACATTAGATGGTAAAATTTAAAGTATATAGGAAGGTTAAAGTAAACTTTTTGTAAAATGATACAACTGCCTCTTAAAAGTTATGTAGATTCTGAATATAGCAAAATATAAAATAAGGGAGGGTAATATAAATAATGAAACATCTTAAAAGTCAGAGTTAAAATATGCACAGTTTTTACATGAGATAAAGTAGACAGCAGAAACAGTGGTGTTAAAAAGCTGTATACGTATTAAAGGAGATACACTTGTGAATGCTGATTGAGTAAATTTTGGTTTTGTTGAGCTCATTATTATAGATTTCCTTTCATGCAGATCCAGGATTATTAATATTGAGTTTAGGAAGCACAGTGCATTCCCTAGATAGAGATAATATATAAGTCATGTGTAGTCAGTTCATATAGCTAAGCCAGGAGTCAGCACTCCTGTACATGCACTCAGGAAGCTAAGGCAGATGGATCTCTATGAGTTAGCCTAGTCTGAGTAGCAAATTCCAGGCCATCCAGGTCTACATAGTGAGACCCTATGTCAAAAAAAAAGTTCTTGTAACTAAGAACTTGGTCATAAAAATGTCAGCACGTGAGAGTATACTAAAAGATTCTTTCTCTCTCTCCCTTGGCACTCTGATAAAAATGATGTGATAGCCTCATCTGACTCACAGGATAAGCTCTTATAAGATGCACTTAGAGAGAGCCAAGCACAACCTAGGATCTGCTAGATCTGCATCTCAGGTAGTTAGTAGCTGTATGGCAGTAATAGTTGAGGTAATAGTAGTTCTAGAATAGGCCTAGTCCCCATACTGACAAAGTATAAACATAATTGTGCTTTTTTTTAGAAGTCTACCAAATTAATGAACAATTTGAGAGGCGACATCAAGATAAACAAGATAAGTATTGGTTGATGCAAGTTGGATTCCCTAATGACAAAATGATTACCAAGAGTGGCCCGAACTATACTGAATTTGAAAACGCATTGCATCTGAACACAAGCCTTGTTGTTCCAAAGCAAAGATCCCATAAATCATTTGAATCATTTGGAAATAATATGGTAGACAATTTAAACTTACTTACTAGAAGCTCTACAGAAAATAAACATGATACTGGGTGTGCAAAATTTTTCTTCCATACAGAATATGAAAACTCTAGTTTCATAGTGAAACCCTATGAATATAAAGAATATGAGAAAACCCTCAGGCGAAAGAAAGGCCTTAGCCTTCATCAGAGAATTAAAAATGGAGAGAGGCCTTTTGAATGTACTGCATGTCAGAAAACCTTCAGCAAAAAGTCACACCTCATTGTCCATTGGAGAACTCATACAGGAGAGAAACCATTTGAATGTAATGAGTGCGGGAAAGCCTTTAGCCAAAAGTCTCAGCTCATTATACACCTCAGAACTCATACAGGAGAAAGACCCTTTGCATGTCCAGAATGTGGCAAAGCCTTCAGAGAAAAGTCAACTGTCATCATACATTATAGAACTCATACAGGAGAGAAGCCTTATGAATGTAATGAATGTGGGAAAGCCTTTACTCAGAAATCAAACCTCATTGTTCATCAAAAAACCCACACTGGAGAAAAAACCTATGAGTGTACCAAGTGTGGGGAATCTTTTATACAGAAACTTGACCTAATTATGCACCATAGTACTCACACAGGAAAGAAGCCTCATGAATGTAATGAGTGTAAGAAAACATTCAGTGATAAGTCAACCCTCGTTATACATCAGAGAACTCACACTGGAGAGAAACCTCATAAGTGTACTGAATGTGGGAAGTCTTTCAATGAAAAGTCAACCCTCATTGTGCACCAAAGAACTCACACTGGCGAGAAGCCCTATGAATGTGATGTGTGTGGGAAAACTTTCACCCAAAAATCAAATCTGGGTGTGCATCAAAGAACTCATTCAGGAGAGAAACCATTTGAGTGTAATGAATGTGAGAAAGCCTTCTCTCAGAAATCTTACCTCATGCTACACCAACGAGGCCACACAGGTGAGAAGCCCTATGAATGCAATGAATGTGAGAAGGCATTTTCCCAGAAGTCCTATCTCATTATACATCAAAGAACCCATACAGAAGAAAAACCCTATAAATGTAATGAGTGTGGAAAGGCCTTTCGAGAAAAGTCAAAGCTCATTATCCATCAGAGGATCCACACAGGAGAGAAACCCTATGAATGCCTTGTATGCTGGAAAGCTTTCAGCCAGAAGTCACAGCTCATTATCCATCAGAGAACACACACAGGAGAAAAGCCCTATAAATGCACAGAATGTGGCAAAGCATTCAGGGAAAAATCAACATTCACTGTACATCAAAGAACTCACACTGGAGAGAAACCCTATAAGTGTACAGAATGTGGGAAAGCCTTTACCCAGAAATCCAATCTTATTGTACATCAGAGGACCCATACAGGAAAGAAAGCCCATGGAAAAGGCCACACTGGCAAGTCAAAGCCTACTACGCAATAGTGTCTTTTATATATTCCAAAGGAAAGATCTATTAATGTTTAAAAAGTATGACCTAGATTCTAGCCTAATCATTGGGATAAACAGCATTTCCTTTCATCTTCTTCACCCTAATACAAGTTGAAAAAGAAGTAGATGTGTAATTTCTTTGAAACCACTGGAACCATAGGGCTGCCAGATGAAGAGGCAATCAGGCACCAGTGCGGGAGATTTAAGGGCTTCAGAGGTGAGACAGCATAGCTAAGGCCTCTGCTAAAGGTTCAGTTGCTCGCTAAGGTGCATGGCCACAGACAGCTGCTACAAAGACCATGTGAGGTCTGGAGGAGAAACAAGCAGAAAAACATTGCATTTACAGAAAGTAATCTAAAAGATTTGAAGAACAGCTGGAGGTGGGGGAATTAGAGCAAATAAAGGGATATAGTTCTTGTTTACTGATTTGGAGAAAGTAAAGTTTGAAAGAACTAACATATGTTAAGGGGTGTCTCAGTTGTTTAAAAAACTGATATCCTGGCATGTTCCCCTCAGGAACTTTTGGCAAATAGCAAGTTCAGGAATGACTTTTCTCATTCAAAGAAAAGCATTTAAAAGTAATCAAACTCACAAATAAATTTCCACTTCTGGGAATACAGATACTCATATATGTGTAAAATAATCAAAACACAGAGGTAGTTGTTGATGCATTGTTGGAAGGATTAGAAGCTGTTGAAATTGCATCATGTGGATTCTGCTTCCTGAAACTGATGTGTTCTTACAACAGACTCCTCAAGACAAAAATGAGCAGGAAGAATGTCAATATCATTTCTTTAGTGATTTGAGATAATCTTCAAGTTACATCATTAGCTAGGAAAAAGCAAGGCACAGCAAAGTGAGTATTATGTGCCACTATTTGTATATAAAAGGGGGAAATTGTAAGTACAGAATGAATTGTATGTATAAGCTGTTTCTGGAAAGGAATGTGATTACCATTACTACCTTACAAAAGGAAAGAGAGCAGTAGGTGACTAGGGTGAGGAAACTTGGAGACATCTTTTGTATTCTCTCATAGCTTTGGAAAGTTGTATAGTGTGAATATACTACCTGCTTGAACAATAAATCTTTTAAAATCGCATTATATTCCTTTAATGGTTACTCTAGATACATATTCATAACATTTAATGTATATAAGCTCAATAGAGTTTAATTTATTTTCAGTGAACAAATTGAATAACCAGGCAAACAGAGAATCAAAAATATTCAATCAGTTTCTAAGACATTTTTTCCCAAACCTCAAGTGAATCTGGGGTCACCTGTGACCATATTACATATACTTAAAATAACAAAATCTGAAACATATTTTCTAATTTAGTGTACACAGTGACACATGGGAAATACCATATTGCATAAGCCTAAAATAACAGAAATTGGAACACATTTCATATTTAGAGTGTACAGTGACACTTTTTCAAATCTTAAAATGATTTAATATTACTCCATTTTTATAAGAAGCATAAAATACCAATTCAACAGGAGGTAGAGTAACATCCTCCAGATATCACACTAGTGCTGTTGACATGTATTTTCTAAGATCAGAGATAAAATTGAGACCCATGAGAACAATATAACATTTCCTGGAGAACAAGAGATCTTGTTTGTGTATTACTGTATTTGTAAGCCCTCTTGCTAATGTGGCTATTATTCATTGATTCTTGTCTAGCATTAATAGGCAACACAAGCTGTATAAAGCCTGGAGGTCAGTTGGGTTTGTTCTTATCAAAACAGATGAATTAGACTTGAGTCTTAGTGCCTTTCTAGATTACCTCTTTTTGAGAGTGTGTGTTGTGTGTGCATTCATGTACTCACGCATGTTTACATGTATGCTGAGGCTCAGAGAGTCACTATCCAACTTTTTTTTGTCTGTATATGTTCATATTTGTTCTCCAGGGTCAAATCCTAGAAGCTAAATTGCTTTTCTAAATTGCATTTAGAAAGTTTAATACAACTGCTCTCAATAATTCTCTCTCAAACTCCATAGCCCCAGTCAAACAAGATTTAATGTATAAATATTTACTGAAGTTGGGTCCTCTGTAAAAGCTCTTTTAATGGCTGAGCCATCTTTCAAGCCTCTTTTTTATGGTTTAATTCTGGGGGAAAAAGTGAGCGGTAGGCTCAGGTTGGAGGGGGCGATGTTTTAATGCTGTAGGTCAAACATGGGACTTTGCAAATGTGAAGGCCTCCCACATTCTGCTGCATCGTCCCTTTATTTTTTTTTAGCTCCATAAGATATATATGTCCATCTCTAGGGAGAAAAAAATGTAGGGCCCACTAGCTTGTTCCTGGTGCAGTCTGCATTAAAGATACCCAGGAGAACCAGAAATAGCTATTTGATCTTTTTACCAATAGAAAAACATTCCATTTAAGGTTAATCTGCAGTAAGGTGAGAGCTCAGGTTATGCCTTTTCCTGTTAATCTCGAGACACCTTCCTGTGCACCAGGTGGCAACTTGTTGCAACTGCATGTGGCAAACTGAAGTGACATAGACCGAAGAGATGGGATGAGGATGAACTGCAGGATGCAAATGTGCTGAGGTTAGAGGGAAAGAGAGAAGGCTAATGAAGCATCAAGTGTGGGTCAATGGGGCAGTAAAGGGCAGAGTTGGGAAGTGAATAGGGGAAAAAAGGAGAAATATGAAATCCAGTGGAGTTCAGTACTTGAGACTAGATGAGCATAAATAAACATGCATGGATTTGAAGGTGAATGGACAGAGAAAATTGTATTGGATGTGAGGGAAGGTGAGGTATAGTCAATGATCCTTTACAAATAGATGCAGTTGAGTAAAGAACCATGCAGGTGAGTGAAAAGAGGAAAATGGATGGGTCATCAAAGTAGGCAGACTGCTGGAGTGAAAGAATGATGAGTACTCGGGTACCAAGGACCTATGGTATCAAGAGGTACAATCACAGGATCTTGGGTAATGCTAGGCAGTTGGTGAGAGCCAAGTAGAGTGTAGCAGGAAATATTTTTTTTAAAAAAATACATATACTTTTATTAATCATTTTATCCTTTTACATTTCAAACGGTATCTCCCTTCCTGCTCCCCCAACCCCCGTCATTCCCCTATGCTGGAGCATCAAGCCTTCACAGGACCAAAGGCTTCCCCTCCTATTGATGTCAGATAGGGCCATCCTCTGCTACATATGTATCTGAAGCCATGGATCCCTCCATAAATAGTCTTTGGTTGGTAGTTTAGTCTCTGGGAATTCTGTGTGGTCCAGCTAGTTGATATTGTTCTTCTGATGAGGTTGCAATCTCCTTCAGCTCCTTCAATCCTTCCTCTACCTCTTCCATTGGGGTCCCTGGGATCAGTCTGATGGTTGTCTGTGAGTATCTGTATCTGTATTGGTCAGGCTCTGGCAGAGCCTCTCAGGGACCAGCTATACCAGGGTCCTGTTAGCAAGTGTTTCTTGGCATCAGCAATAGAGTCAGGGTTTGGTGTCTACAGATGGGATGGATCCCTAGGTGGGGCAGTCTCTGGATGGCCTTTCCTTCACTCTCTGCTCCATTTTTATGTCCCTGTCTTATCTCTGGACAGGAACAATTCTGGATCAAAAATTTTGAGATGGAAGGGTGGCCCCATTCCTCAACTGGGGCCCCTGTCTATCTACTGAAGGTGGTCTCTACAGGTTCTATCTCCCATTTGTTGGGTATTTCCACTAATGTCATCCCCCATTGGGTCCTGAGAGCTTCTCGCTTCTCTGATGTCTGGGACTTTATAGTGGCTACCCCCAATTCCCCATCCCCCACGTAGCAGGAAATATTAAAAGAGAATGATCAGCAGCTTCCTGGCACCGCTGCCAGCCAAGTCTGCTGCCAGCCAAGTTCCCACATTGTAGCCGACACTGGCCAGATCTCCAAAATCTCACCACCCAGCTGACTAAGTTCCCACAGGCCAGTCACTACCACACCATTCCTGAGCTTCAAAACCCCCACGGCCTTTGTGGTGCACATTTGGCAAACCCACACTTTGCCACCATACCTTTCTCTCTGGAACCCAGCAAAACCACCTCGGGAAGGAAAACAGCACACAAACTTAGTTCAGAAACAATGGTAACTCAATCTCTGGGCTCAACAGCTAGAATCCTAATCTTGTATCTATATTAAATCTAAATCCTCTGGTGATGGATCCATCAGGGAGAAATCAGAAGATACTAGTAGCTGTATCTTGTCCTCACACTGTCCCTGTCCAAAAGGACCCTCTTCTTCCTCTCTTCCCCTATCCAACCTGAAAGTCCCTCCTACTCGCTCAGTCATTGGCTTCTTTATTCATCAGGGGATTGGTTCACAAGAAGAAACCTAAGGTGACTCACTCCTTGCCTGCAGCCCCTCCCAAGGACAGTGGAATTAACATAAAAATACAAACAGCACCAGGCCCATCCACAATACTAGAGAACCCCACCAAGAACACAGGTATATGAGATGGGAACAACCTGGACACTGGACTCAGTGTTCAATGAAGGTCAGCTCTTTTCTCCATGTCCTTGTGGGTACTTAGCATTCCTCAAGATATCATATATCAAAAAAGTAGCTCATGGGCTACATCATATATCAAAAAGGGCCCACGTATCAGCTCCTCTGCTTCACAATGTTTTACTAGTGTAAGCCTTGTCCTCAGCGTCCAAGATAAGTAGATGCCTTAACTATGAGAACACAAGGTAGGCAAAATAGACAAAGATAAACACACAAAGAAGAATTCAAGAAAGTAGGTGTGCCTATGCTATACCAGGATACAGTATTCCCCTTTTACCAAGCCTAAGTTTTCTTCCAGTTGTCAACTCTGTTCTGAAAATATTAAATGGAAAATTCCAGAAACACTGTCTTAAATTGAGTGTCATTCTGAGTAGCAGCAGACTTTACTCCATCCAATAAACCCTCTCCTTATCAAGCATTTACATGTTATTAGCGTCTACCAGTTAGTCACTTAGTAAGTAGAAGATCATAAATAAAAGCCCAGCAGCAGGCCACATGTGTTGTCACATGTCTTAAATTACAGCACTCAGGAGGCAGAAGCAGATGGATCTCTGAGTTCAAGGCCAACTTGGTGAAATCCAGAACAGCTATGTAGAGAGACCTGTCTCAAAATAAAAGAGGCTCAGCAATCATAGGGACATGTTTTTCTAGGTCCAATGCAATAAAATCAGGCAATTTCTGTTATCCTAAATCACTCTTGTGTTAAAATATTTTAAATTATGAACATATTAGAAATGGATGATATACAAGTCAGGGGCATCTGATTAAAACTGGAATAAAAACTTCCTCTGTAATACTGATATCTCAAGATCATATCTCTTGGTTGACCAGCTAGAAATCCTCAAACTCACTAGACACTGCAGTACAGATGTTTTGAATTTTTCACTAGTTCTATGAGAATTCTGTAGAATGTATTTTGATAATATTTACACATATATTCTTGAGTGTGTGGGCTTCCACTGACGCATGAGCCATGGATAACAATAAGGAAACAGTATCTTCTAGACACAGCAGGGCAGTGGCACATATGAACTTATAGTGGTTTTTGAAGATTAAATTCCAACATGGACAGAGCAAGTGGGCATAAAAGTCTCACCCCTAGCTAATTAGCCATTGGCAATTGAGAGCTACCAAAAGAGTGAAGGTCCATTTTCTTTTAAGAGTGTAGCTCCTGGTGTGTTGATTATTCTCCAGTGGAAGACCAAACATCCAATGCTACATTTTTTCGGTGACACAGGGTCTACACAGGTTCATTAAATAATTGGCAAGTTGATCATAAACAGCCTCAAAGGATAATAGAATCAAGAATACTACTGTAGCAGTTTGGCATGGCATTTTTCTGTACCATGCTGCACTCCATTTTTATGGACTCCCTCTGTGTATCACTAGAATGGTCAAGCAGTAACACCAGTATGTGGATGAAAGCACTCAGTTGTGGGTCTGCATATACCCAGCCACTGGGCACTGCCTCTTGAGGAGGTAGAACGTGGAGCGTGCTTGACTGTGTCTCCCAATGCTGGGCTTCAAGGGAGCACTGAGATGCCACTCTAGGGGTGGGAAACACAGTCTTAGATGAAGGATAAAGCTGGGCTGGTTCGGGTGTACCCAGG